GGACAGGAAAGCAATGAAAGTCCTCTCTGAAGCCTCATGTGCCACTAGGCATAACGAGAACTGATGATGATGATGACGTAACAAAAAATACATACCAAATTAGCAGCGGTCCGACCACTGTCTTTATTGTCCAATCGAATAAATATTTCGCAGACCTCGCCTCTAGCTGACTCATACCTCAGTACGTTTGAGACTGCTTAGACATGTCGTGGTTTTCTGTATTGTCTCGGGTGGCTAGGGGGGTGGATTTGTTCATCTTTCTGCAGTTTTCCACCACCACCACCAACAGCAGCAGCAGCAGCACCATCACAAACACGATTACCACCACCACTACCAACAGCACCACGCTCACCCCCACTACCAAAAGCATCACCACCACCACCAACAGCAAGCAGCAGCAGCACCACCAACACCATTACCACCACCATTACCAACAGCACCGGCACAGCCACCATTACCACCACCACTACCAACAGCACTGGCACAGCCACCATTACCACCACCACTACCAACAGCACCACGCTCACCCCCACTACCAAAAGCATCACCACCACCACCAACAGCAAGCAGCAGCAGCACCACCACCACCACCATTACCACCACCACTACCAACAGCACCACCACCATTACCACCACCACTACCAACAGCACCACCACCATTACCACCACCATTACCACCACCACCACCATTACCACCACCACTACCAACAGCACCACCACCATTACCAACAGCACCGGCACAGCCACCATTACCACCACCACTACCAACAGCACCACAAACAGTACCACCACCATCAGTACCACCACAAACAGTACCACCACCATCAGTACCACCACAAACAGCACCATCACCATCATCATTAATAACAGCACCAGCACCACCAGCAGTACTAACATCACCAACAACAGCACCGCCATCACTACCACTCCTACTACTACTCTGTTGCTGCAGCTGCTATTACTACTACTGCCAGGGATATTTGAAATGGGTTTACGTTGTAGTTTAAAGTATTTTCGAGGACAAAAAGCCTTTTTTTTTAAATCCCAATTGGATCAAAGGTTCCAGGCTTCAAAAATTAAAAATCTAACTTCAAATCTCCCTATACTTTGCCATAATATACCGCTAACGTCGGCGTCTGTGGTTTAGGCGCTGCGAAAGCGCTTCGTAATGCCAGGGTGCCGGGTTTGATCCCGGCTGCGGACGATTAGTCTTGCGTTGGTTTTGACAGCGGTACCGAGAGCTGAACGTTTAGTCAGCAATGACAAACTACTGAACTTAAAATTGCCTAGAAAAACCACAACAGCCAAAAAATGCTGGGGTGGGTTCTGCAACGTCCTGTAAAGGATACGCAACTGACTCTTTATTCTGATAACATTTTCTATTTCACCAACTTCGGTCTTTCATTTAATAGTGTGTTTTTAGCGTTTCTGATTGTTTCTTTTACCTTGTTGATTCCAGAGAATCCTATGTTGCATACGGCAGCCCCCCCCCACCCCCCTCCGCACCTCATTCTCTACTGTGTCCTCGAGAGTCCTCGAGAGATGAAAGGTGGAGAAGGAAATGTATCATTAAATCTCACCTTCTTTCGTTCGGTGACCAGCACGCGAACAGTTGATTTTTCCATGTAAACGTATGTGACCTTTCTTTGACATCCGCACTCATCAACTTATTCGAAACATAAGGGGTTTCGCTCGTGTCTGCTACTTCCCCTCCTCGAGAAATTGGATTACACCCAGCGTTCAATAAAAAATCCAGCTATGGATAATTTGTCCATTGTAGGGCTTTTGGCCTAAAATACTTCATACTTCTTTAATATACTGCAGGTAGGCATCTATCAATTTTGACATTTCATGCCATACTAGAAAAATCCATGCCGAAATACGTTTGCTTCACATTGAAGAATCAAAAGCATTGTTGACTGAAATATCAATTTGAAAATCAAGCCTACTTAGCTTGGCATAGTATTATACCAAATTTCGTCCTTTTTAGGACGAAATTTTTTGTCATTTGAAGCCCCACTCTGGCTTTTGCCAGGGGCCGCAATATGGGCAGGCCATTTATATGGCCAAATGTCTGAACGCGGTTTCTGGGACCTCTCCACGGCGATCCTCATCCACATGGTGGCACTTTGTGTCATCGGGTGTTTATCGCTTGTGTGATGTCCTGGTGGGGTAGAAATTCAGTTCAGTTCAGTTAGCTTGGCATAACTATGTGTTTTTAAATTATCAAGTTATCTCCCTTAGTAGAGTCCATTTAACAATACTCACAGACTCAAACACAATATTAGCTAATTGATCATCTTTACGTTCTTTTCAGGATACATTTTTTTTTTTATTTGAAGCCCCATCCTGGCTTTTGCCAGGGGTCGCAATATAGGCAGGTCATAAATATGGCTATTTGTCTGAACGCGGTTTCCGGGACCTCTCCACGGTGATACTCATCAACATGGTGGCACTTTGTGCCATCGGGTGTTTATCGCCTGTGTGATGTCCTGGCGGGGTAGAAAGTCAGTTAGTCAGTCAAACACAATATGTTAGACACTTACTGTTGCTGCTGCTACTACTACAATTCTGCTACTACTATAAGTTTTGTTGCTGCTGCTGCTGCTGCCACTACTCCTACTACAACAACTGCTGCTGCTACTACTACTGTACCTACTACTGCTACCACTGCTGTTGTTACTACTGCACCTACTACTAATGCTGCTGTTACCATTAATACCACCACAACATTACTAGTAGTATTACTACTAGTATTACTGTTGCTGCAGTTGTTAATACTACTTTTACTTCTGCTGATGCTAGTACTTTGCAACATTTATCGTAAGCATTTGCTCGCAGGGAGACGACTTCGTCGCCGGTTGGGAAATGATTTTTGTCTGTCTCATTTGATCGCATCAACACTGTGAGATACAAATTGTACTATAAATAATTAGCATTGTGTCAGTAACATGGTAGATAAATTGTTTCCTTTGTGTGCAATCGTTGATTATTCTCCTCGATTTTATTTTTAGGTATTCCATACCCTTTTATATATGTATTTTAGTCCAATTAATACACTGCTCAACATTGCCACGCAGCTCTCTGTGGTTGTTTTATGTGCAGCAATTTTTCCATCGTAATAGGTAATTTACAGAGATTCATGCAGTCAGTTGATGGTTTTGTAAGGTTTTCATATTTCCTACACTTCAGTAAATAGTTCTCTATGTTACTGTATTTCTGGCATAGTCAAGCAAGACCAACTAAGTTGTAGTTCAAGCAACTTACGATTGTTCATCTGTTATCTGAATATGTCTTTTAGGAGGATTTAATAACCATTTATGCTGTGGTCCCAGTGCATGGACCATTCCTTTGATATTCATATTTTAGTCAGTAATTGTATGACTCCTTTGCACATAGTTGTATTAATACTGTTTTGATTGGATCTACCTTTTTCTCCTCTCTATCTGCAATGTCATTACCATGTATTACACCATGAGCTTGTATCCAAACAACAAGCATTGAGCATCCTCGTGTGTTAAGATATGTGATAGTCATATTAAGTCTGGTCTGCTACATATTTGATGTGTGTTCACATGTCAATGTCCAAGTCTGACACTGATAGCACGTGGTTGGCATGAAGATTGCATTTATAATTTGTCATTCTTTCTCTATAAGGATAACTGGCTGTGTCAAAGTTGGGACAAAAAGCAGATACAAATTCGAGCTAGATAGCGCAATCGTATGCACGGATGGTTCCGTATATCAGCATGTCTGCATACAAATAAGTCAGATATGCAAAACAAATATGCATGCACAACTGAAGTTCTTAAACAATACTTAAGTAGAGATGTTGACAAACAGCCAAAACTTTCTGTCAGAGTTTACAGACGAGGAATGCGAAGAAAAAGAAGAAGAAACAGAGAAAGAAAAGAAGAAGAAAAAAAGAAAGAAAGGAAGAATGAAAGAAAGAAAGAAAGAAAGAAAGAAAAGAGAAAGAACGAAACGAGAAAGAACAAAAAGAGAAAGAGCGAAAAGAGCGAAAGAAAGAACTTTGACAGTTAACATCGTAACGTTTAGGAATATAAATGTAAAATAGAAAATGATTAGCTGTCCACGAAACAGGGTGTTGTGTGCTTGCAAGATGACCTGTAGAAAGCGACAGGGAGAACATGTAGGTAGCAATATTAATTGGGCAAAATAATATAATTAATTGATAGATAGAATGCGTAGAACTGTGTGGTGACAAAAAATCGAGTGTGGATATTCAAAATATTGAAGGTCCACTGAAACTTGCTGCATAAGTATATGTAATACATAATACATAACACAAAGACATAAGTGAAATCGGAACTAGGAAAAGAAAATAAACTGTGTAACTATAATTTTTGGAACGAAATAATATTTCTAAATGTTATCTAGTGTCGTTAACATGTCTAAAGATCTATTGTAATACACACGAAAGAACTTAAGACATAAAGACTCCTAATTTAAAACATCAGAAAGAACTAGTCATCGTTTTTGGCCATTTTATAACAAAATGACAAAACAAGAAGACGACAGAGAGATTACGTATATGCAGACTTACATACACATAGAAAGAGAAGGCTGTCAGAGAGATGAATGGAAGAAGGAGGAGGGGGAGAAGAAATGGTCATGAACAAATGGGAAGATTAGGGAGATGTCATTGTTATAGCAAAGAGCTTACACAATGATACATTTTGGAGATCGCAAGAGAGAGCGTTATCTACAACAAAAGTCGGCATGGCCCTTGATGATTATTAACCCTTATGCATAGCTCTTCCTTTGGAGGAGATCAAACGTCGTAAAAACACCGGATATGAAATTTACGACTTCACACTTAATAGTAAATGATATCCGAAAAGTGGATCGTCCAAAACGCGAGAGTGAGGTTCATACTAGTGTTTTTCTTGTGGTTATATTGATTCCTTGGCGTACTCTACCTTACTTCTCATATAAATATTTACATACAATTTTGTAAGTAATCGGAGAAAACAAATATGGCCAGAGACAGCAGGTAAAGCTTGTGTACAAGTACAATTGTTATGTTATGGTAAATAAATAAAAAGCGTTGTTGCGTTGTCAAAACGTCTGTCATGTCAAACTTACTCAAACTTTTAGGCTTCATCACAATACAATCATAACAATCACTGTCAGCATAACATTGTATTTGTTGTTATCATTGTCATAGTTTTTGTTGTTGTTAAGTGTTAGTGTTAGGTTGGTTGACTGTCAGTGTTTAGTTTAAGTTAGTATTTGTTTTTACTAAGCAATTTTGCGTTCAGTAATTTGTCGTTCTTAAAACTAAAACCTAAAAGTAAAAGTAGTAAAAGAATCGGCGCCTGTGCCAAGCATGCAAGTCGCCTACACCACATCTGAATATCATCATTATCTGAATCGGGTATTTTATTTTTAAAAACTAAAATTCTGTTTTCCGATCTGAATTGATATTATCAATATTAATATTAACGCACCGAATTGCGCTCATAACATAAACGAAAAGCAGGCTCTACTTTGAACGCCGCCTTAAAATGGCGGCCGTAATATGATGCCGTTCAAAAGAGAGCTAAATTGGCTACATTCTGGCCATAAAATATCTAAAAATATCCTAATGCGGCTCAGTTCTTTTAAAAATATATGTGCCGGCTCCGTATATAAAAACAAATGCTCTAATAGGGTCTCTGCGATATGTTACTTGCGGACCTGCTTCTGCGAGTGTGCCTCACCGCCGACCGTATCTGCTGCGCGCGGCGCGGATGGGGACTAAACTAGATGGCTGGGACTCACGAGCAGCAGCTACCGCATCTCCTGCAACTTCATCCAGTTACTTTACTCGTGAGTCCCAGGCACCTAGTTTAGCCCCCCATCCTCTCAGCTACGCGCGGCGCGGGGAATACGCTCGGCGATGAGTTTAATCGCGTTTAGCGCATGCCAAGTCTGACATCTACCGCTGCTAAATCCTCCCATCGGAAGAACACAGAATTGCTAATCGGCTTTCATCGTCTGTAATGTCTTGAATTTGTCAATGGGCGCTAATATCGTCTGCTCGTATCGCCGTCTCCAGAAACGCTCGAAATTGTCAATGGTCGGTATTTATCGTCTGCTACTACTGTATGCAATATTGATATTGATTGTCAAGTAATCCTAGTTTTGCCGCGATTTGTCCCTTGGCAGAAAGTCCGTATTTTAGATACGCCTCAACACCGTTCGGAAATTTTTTAATATTTTATGGCCTTAATGTGGCATCATATTATGGCCGCCATTTTAAGGCGCAGTTCAAAGTAGAGCCAAAAAACATCATAAGCCACAGACGCCGAAGTAACACTTCAAAAGAAACGGCTCTCCTCAGTATTGCGGCCTGAAATATCCGTCCGGGGCGCAGTCCAATTAAAAATATGCCAGCTCCTTATAATAAAACAAATGTTAGTATCATCTGCTACTATTGTCTGTAATGTTGCATGTCGTGAAATTTTGTAATCCTAGTTTTGCCATGATGTGTTCGTCGGAGGAAGTCTGCATTTTACACACGACTGAGGTTCTGTTAGGGTATTTGTTCGGCCACCATAATATGGGTACCAAGATCGAAGGAGAGCCAAGATACTTATAGTATACTAAATACTAGTTACTAGACTTACTACTAATTACTTTACTTCTGCATCTAATCTAATGTCATTAATGACTAATTAGATTAAAGTGATTTAATGATAGATAATTTGTCTTTGTATTTCTGATAAATGATTTTTCCTTCGAATTTATAGTGCATCTGCCTCAGAGGCGAGCAACCAAATCTGCATACAAATAAAGCCGGATTTGTGAAACAGATGTGCACTCAAAACTCTGGTTCTGGAACAAGACTACAGTCCAGAAGTGTATGAGAAACAGGAACTTTCTGCCATAGTTTACAGTCGGTGAAAACACAAGGAAGAAAATTCCATTCGTCCCATCACATATATTTTGTCTTCGACTTTACTTGCATGCTATGTTACAGGGTCAGAGAGATAAGTCGGTGGGATTAGTCACTTATTAAAGACATAAATATTAATATGCACTGTGTTGCTAGAGCTGTTGTGGATAGAAAGAGAATTTGGCTAAACTCATTGGGTACTAAGGAACACATTATGCGTTTTATAACTAATTTGATGGTTCTCTGGCACCCAAAAAAATTAATGACTTTGGTGTATTTAGAATCCTCCTCTGTTGCTTCATCTCTTCATTTTCTTCTTGTAAGACAAATTGGAATCTGTCAAGAATACATTCTTGATTTATTGTTACTGACTGGGTATTAACATAAATGCAGCATTTGAATTTACTATTGTTTTGTGTATTTTTTTTTTTTAAATATAAATCTGTGGATGCATACATAAATTAAAATACTTGCATTGTATGGTAGAAACATTTATTGTGTCATTTATATTACAGGTCATATCGAAAACGATCTTCTTCCAGAGACAGGGACAGAAAGAAACGTAGTCGTTCAAGAAGTAAATCTAGACGCTCTCGATCAAGAGAAAAGTTGCGTAGGTCACGCTCAAAAGACAGAAAAAGGAGTACTTCCAGAGAAAGAAAAAGTAGTCCTCCTGCAAGGGAAAGAAAAAGAAGTAGATCCCGTGAACGAAGAGATAAACGCAAACGATCTGCAGAAAGAGAAAGAGGGTAATGGAATTATGTTTTATAATGTTACAGTTGTACCTCGATTCTTAAGTGCCTTCCTTCTGGAACAGCCCAGTTTTAATCATTTGTTTTTTGCCCAAAATGTCTATGTATCTGATCAGAATTTCGGTCAGTTCTGAAACCATGTAATTTACTGGATGCGAAATGGCGAAAGTGCAATTTTTGTTCAATGAAGATCTTTGCTTGAATGTACAGAAACGTATCATGATTTTTTTTAATGCTCCTTCTCACCCGGCAAGTTTGGTAGACCTGCTGATGGGCAGAACCTGGCTTTTATCACAGTGAAGTTCATTGCACCCAACCAGTCCCTCTTATCCAGCTGGTCTTTGCAAACTTTTTAACCTTATTTTTTTCCCTATAAGAATTTGAGAATTAAAAAAAAGGCCTCAAAGACCGTGTTTTAAATTTCTGTTAAAAAGAAGATGCATTCTTAGAATTCTCTGAAAATCTGCCTTAAGAAAATAAAGAAAGAGAAGAAGCAGAATACATTTTTTATCTTAATTGGTTTAAAAAATAAAAATTCATTGGGGTTAAAACATGGCTGCCTGTGTGGTTCCAGGTCCCCATTGTGGGGAAAACAAGAATAGCCCCACTGCCTGCCCAACAAAACTGTTGTAAGAATCAACTAATTGGGGGCTACATTCAAAGTCGAAGTGCATCTGCCTGAGAGGCAAGGAACCAACAGTCTGCATACAAGTAAGTCAAATCTGTAAACGGATGTGCACTCATGTTCTGAAACAAGACTAATGTTCAGAGGTGGAACAGCCAGAACTTTCCACCTGAGTTTACAGCCAGTAAATGTAAAAAAGAAAAAGAAGAAACCTATGGCCACCAAACAGACAGGCAAATGTCATGGCCACTCACATAGGGGCTGTCAAGTCGCTGAAATGTCGTCACTTTTCGCTTGCTTGCTGAAAATAGGAACGCATCACTTATGGTAGTGTCCAGAGTGCTATGATGTCGATTCTTAATTCAAAATTTTATACCTCTGCTTAAAATGACTGTTTTAATATTAATTTAACATAAAACAACAATATAAAAGATTTTTAGAGAATTTCATGAAACATTGTTGTGAAAGGATTAAAATATTACTTATTGGAAGACAGAACAAGGTAAAGTAATAACTGGAATAGTAAAATATTGTGAGAATAGGACAGGGGTATATAACAAATAATTACTATGTGTGATTAAGCAATGAAAATGTAATTAATTGCCTAGTTCTGAAAGTAGTAGTACTGAAAAATATACGTCGATTATTATGGGTTTTTCTTTTACATTACTCACAGCAAACGAAAATCACGGTCCAGGTCTGCATCACCAGTTAAAGTTGCCAAGAGGGACTCCAAATCGCCAACACCAGAAAGGAAAAAGCCTGCGTCTTCTTCCACAGAGACCAAAGTTAAAGATGAACCAATTGATAAAGTAAGTAATCTTTTTTTGCATATGGGGGGGGGGGGGCAACAGTGTGTATAGTTCTAGAAATCTGATAATAGACTAATGGTGTGTTTTTGTACATAACAAATACATTGATGTATTTATATGTATGCTAATAATATAAGCATTTCTTGTGTGGAGCCCTCATTTGGGGGAAAAAGCCGTTGCCCCCCTAATAGCTTATGATAAAAAACAATTAGGGATGTTTCCTTCAGAGTCGGAGTGCCTCTGTCGAGAAATGAGGCACTAACAGTCAGCATCACACATATATAAGACAGATCTGTCAAGCAGATGTGCACACAGAACTCAGGTTCAGAACTGGACAAACGACCAAAACTTTCTGCTGGAGTTTACAACCGGTTAATGCTAAGGAGAGGATGTAATCAACACTTTTTTGATTTCAGTATGAAACATCCTATATGATTTAGGTCAGAAGCACGGTGTAGCAGGAATAATCTGCATTCATTTTTTATAAATCTGGCTTTCTATTAGGCTACAGTCAGGGAAGGCTAACACTGGCAACAAAAACCTAAAGAAGTTGAATGTGTCAGTTGAAAAAGGACAAATGTCGCAGCCATAATGTATACAGGCAAAACGAATGTACATCTTTGGATGAATACAAGAAAAGATATGTTACATTTATCAGAATTTTACAGCACTTTAAAGTCAACCCTTGTTTTCACTGAGGAACAAACCAAGCTTGTTATCAGAATGTATCCATATCTCATATGCCTTCTGGATTCAGTAGCACAATGTAACAAGCATAATCTTTATGAATTGTGTGTAAACTAAGCTTTCTAATGTGTCTATTTTTTTTTTCACCATCCGAAAGGAAGAGGAGCAGAAGCGCCTTGAGGTTGAAATGCAGAAGCGACGTGAACGCATTGAGCAGTGGAGAGCTGAGCGCAAGAAGACACAAGAGCTGCTACCTATCAACATAGCTCCTGTGACTAGAAAGTGGACCCTAGAGGATGAAGATGATGATGATGATGATGAAGCCGGAGGAGAGAAACACGAAGATGATGAAGTCGATCCCCTTGATGCATACATGCAGGTTAGTTTCTTTTTGAATAGATTAAACAGATAAGAACAAGTAAAAACCAACATCACAGCACTCGCTACATTCACATTAGTGCAGCCTCCTTATCTTCCGCAGCATGCATAGAATTCCATTCCAGTGGTATAAGTAGCAGTCTGATAGTATGTCCATCTTGCTGTAAGTGTTGAATGTCAGTCAGATACCCAGTTCACTCCCTGTTGCCCAGTTTTCTTCAGACCATGCTGATCTATTTGTGCCTCCACAGTGTTCACACTCCCTGTTGCACAGTTCTCTTCAGACAATGCTGATCTATTTGTGCCTCCACAGTGTTCACTTGCTCCCTAAGGGCATTCACAATAGCTAACTTGTCATGCATCAATTTATCACCAAGTAGGACAGAACGGGTCTGTATATCCAAGGATATAAAATATCGATAGGATATAAAATATCCAGAGGATATAATACATCCAGAGGATAAAATACATCTAGAGGATATAATACATCCAGAGGATGATCTGTCTACACCTTTCTCTTCATGCTTTGTGAATCAGTTAACAATCACATGTTCATGCAGCTGGTTCTCAGGCCAGCAGAAGGTTGCAGTGACTGGATCTACCTCTGACTGTTCTTAAGCTGGATGTTGTGATAACATATGCCAATCTCTGTTGTACCAAGGTTATTCATTCACTTTTGCTGTGAATCCCCATAAGAGCTTAAGCAGTGATGATGAAGTCATTTTAATCTTCTTTAAACGTCACTTTTTATTTGCACTTTCATCATTTGAGTGGTACTATGTTTCTATGAATTGTTGTTCAAAATTTGCTTCTTCCTTCTCTCACTTTTGTCACTTGTCACTTTCTTTCTGGGGCCTCATTGGGGGCGTGGGGGGTGGGGTAAAAAAAAACAGACTCACTGCTGCTTAACGAGCATGTCGTAAAAGGCATCTAATGAATGATTTGCTGAAAGCAGATGTTATGGGCCAAAGTGTGCAGATAACACAGCCTAGCTGTAAACAGCACAACATGCCAGCCACCATTTAAAGGCGAACAAATATGAAAAGACTCCTTCAGGTGCCACCAGTGATAAAGGGCTGTCTTTCCTGATTGCCTCAACCATTAGCAGGCTGTACATACCTCTCTTCTTGATTTAAAAATCTTCAATATTTGATATGTCTTCACAGTTTAAGAAATTGTGTATTTAAAACATATATTAAGTATGTGATGTAGTTTGTTTATCTCTGTATCCTTCATTTACAGTCTGTCAATGATGAAGTGAAAATATTGAAAGATAAAGACAAGAAACCTTATGGAGAAAATGATGTAAGTAATTGCTGAAAACATTTCTGTTCTGTTCAGATAAATGATAAACCATATTTTTTTATTGTCACACTTTTATGTTATTTGAATGTTTCAGTGAGCACCATCACCACACTGAAATTCTCTGTTTATAATCTCCTTCACATCAAACAGGCATTTCCCTCAGCTCGGTGCACAAACTCCATAGCTGCTTGTATTTTTTTTCTACGTCTACATGCATCAAATGCTTTTTTTTTCCAGTGGATTTTCAAATTTAGGAAATTTTTGCCATATAAATGACCTCTTGGTTTGGGGGGGGGGGGGGCTGCTAAAGGTTAGTTACTGTAAAATATGATGACATTTTAAACCTATTACCAGTCTTCAGTGTTTACTTCCTGAGTTAACCATTGCAGGACCTGATAGTTATTCCAGGCGGTGACTCAATTCCGTTTTAATTGTTGATGTGTCTTTTTCTATGATTATAAGATGTACACCTCCTGAGTTTCTAGTTTCTGCTTTCTGTAACTAACTGAAATATGCAGTGATAAATATGCTTTTTTTTTTTTATCTACCGGACTTTAGGTCCAATACATCTATAAGACAGGAAACAAAACAAAAATATGTGTCTGATTTTATTAGAATGCGTCGCTGGAATTACATCGGTCACGTACTCAGAATGGACATACAGAGACTTCCCCACCAAGCCTTCATATGGTCACCAGAGGGTAAAAGAAAACAGGGAAGACCAAAAGAAACTCTCCGTAGAACCATCACAAGGGAGAGCTCAACCATAGGTCTCAGTCGCACTCAAGACCTACATCAAGTGGCAACGAACCGACAGACGTGGAAAGCTATGACCTCTGCCCTATGCGCCATCTTTGGCACAAGAGGAATAACTAACTAACTAACAGTTGGTACAGAGTCGATATGCTAATAGTACCCGTAAAAACCAGATTAAAAGTCCATCTTTATCTTTACCAGTTAACACAGGTGAATCGATAGATACAAAAAAATGTTAGCTGTTAACCATTTATTTGATGGTTCATTCCTGTTTTTGCTATTACTGTAATCTGTTGTCTTGATTCTGATTACTTATATCTTCAATTGTATCTGTTTATTTAAAAAAATTAAATAATCACTATAAATTTAATTCTGTTGTACAACAGATACAGGTATGAACAGCTTTTTAACAATTTTTTTTTAAATCTTATTATTTTTGCATTGCCTATTATTTTTATTCAGTGGCCAACACCACAGTGTGAGCATGTTAAACTTAAGTCCTGGAACAAGATCACGGCCCTGAAGCTGAAAAACAATTACCGCAACCTCCCGTCGTGGACACATGAAGCTAACATTCTGCAACAAGCCAAAGGTGGAAAAATAAATACCTCCACTTGTCGACACATGAGTCTCATGTTCTGGTACAAGTCCAGTGTGTATGATCAACCAGAACTTTCTGCAGGAGTTTACAGCTGGTAAAAAAATAAGAAGAAGAAATACTGCCATCTGAATCCTCCACCCTCCTTCTCATTTGCATGCAAAGCTGCTGTTGCTGCCCGTAAGGGGCCAGCATTACCCCTTTCCTTAGGGTGGTACCGACAACCTTTGGAAATTGGTTTGCAAAAGAAGTGGATAAATGAGCTATTCGTGCTAACTTTGTGCTGTCAGTATCAAACATGGACAATCCTAGAAAAACATAAATACAAAATTATAACATGTGAGATGAGGTGTATAAGAAGTGCGGTGGGCAGAAACAAACAGAGCCAGTGAAGAACTAAGGAAAATGGATGGCGCAGTGCCAGTAAAGGATTTCATAGAACATCAGAGAATCAAAAGGTTTAGTCATCCGGTTAGAATGGGACAAAATCAGCCAGCAGCATGATACTACATGATTACAGCAGACTACAAGACAAGAGGCCACCCACTATGAGATGGATTAAGGGAGTAAAAGAGACACTAAGAATTGTAATATGACATTAACACAAGCTACGCAACTAGCAGTTACATATAACTCCTCCCTGCAGTGTTTTACAGTATATGCAGTAGGACAAAAGAAAGAAAGAGAAAAGATAGTTTACAGACATAGCTAAGAAATAGCTTGATGTATAGTGTCTGAAAGGCAAAGTCTAGCGGCTGACGTCATATAGTCCTTGCAGATATAATAATCCACACCTACTTTGAAACACAGTACTCTGTCCCTCCCACCGGCAACAGAGCTGACAAAAGCAGGTCTCCTAAATTTGTAAAGTCTGAATTTATTGGATTTTTATTTTTAAATATCCAGAAACCATGTTGTTAACCCTTAGGCTCGGTACTATGAATATCGCAACTCTTCGGCCTTGATTCCATGAAAGATACCGTAAATTTGGGAGAAATGTGGCTTTTCTTCCAACCTCCGGGCGTGTCATGGACCCAAAGGAGTTCGTCACCCGGTCGCCGCAAACTCAGGTTTAACCAACTGCGCTAGCGAGCCGGGCAAATTAAATTAATAAAACCTGTCATGGTTCTGTGTATGTAAAGACAAATACAAAACACACTGCAGAGGCACCAGTGATACTGGATCAGGTTGGACACTGGCAGGTATAGTAAGATCAGCATATTGGTGAAAGCCTCCTTATTCAAATCCAAGTCATAATATTCATATTGTATTACACTTATCCTGCAAACCATGACTGGTTGCAGTGTTGTATATCCTCACCTGTTTCACTTGTGAACTATTTTAGTCCCAAAGAATGTGAACGCATCGTACATTCATAGGTTCCTACCTAGAAGCCCATTTAACTCAAGGTGCACCGATTATATGTCTCCCTTTACTGCCCCTTGGGCTTCTGATACTAAACCTGTGGGACTGAAAGAGTTAAAGCATAACAGTCAATTACTTTGCATCCCATATAGGTTCTGGGCCCTTTAGGTGGGGGGGGGGGGGCAACAAGAAAAGACCCACTGCCTCCCCAAAAGCATGTCATTTGAGTCTAGAAGTAGACAAACTGCTAGAACTTTCCACCGGAGTTTACAGCCATTGAATGTGAATAAAGAGAAGGAGAATTACTTCAAATCTTTTTCTCAAAATTGTCCCGGCATTGCAATTTATAAATTGGTGTCTGTGGCTTAAGAGTTATGAACACAGTTTCCTGGTTCCAACATCCTGGGTTTGATTCAGCGACAGATTATTTGGCAGCAAGCCACTTTGAGTTGATTTCCACATGGTACAAGAAGCGGTAAACTACTGACTGTATGATTACCTAGTAAAACCACAAACAACCAACAAATACTGGGGTAAGTGTGCAACATCTTGTAAAGGTTATGCAACAAACTTAACTTAAAAATAATAATGAATGGAGCTGTGTGGGGCAACATCTTTAGGCAAAGAGGACACCACACAAATTAGACAACATCATGTCCCATAGAACAGTAGCCACAGCCGTCTAAGAGATAGGATTGGCGTTTTTCCTCAAAGTCAAAGTACATCTGCCCGAGAGGTAGGGAGCAAGAACGGCACACAAATAAACTAGTGAACCCGATGTACACTGAAAACTGAGGTCCTGATATAAGGCCAAAGTCCAAATGGATGAACAACCAGTACTCTCCACTGGAATTCACAGCTGGTAAACACAAAGAAGAAGATGAGTAGAGCATGTTTGTTTTTTTCAATTACTCAGTCATTTTTACTAATTTTCTTACAGGTTCACGGCAAAGTTGTGACACGAATTATGACAGTTGTGAAGAAAAAACAGGAGGATCCCGGGAAAGATAAAGGAGAACTGATGTTAAATAACATGGATGCTTTAGAGGTAAGGAATGTATGGCAAGTGAAGTGATTGTTTCATGTTTTAGTTTCTATCAAAGTTAAAAATGGAAAAGTCATTTATGATTATGTTGCATATTTAAAACTTCAAAGCCACCTTTGTGTCATGCAATCTAATTACGGTATTTACATGTGTATAGTTACAATTGTACATGTGGGAGATAACATAAGTTGCAAGTAGTCTGTTATGTGCAAATGAATTTAAAACCAGTTATTGCTGGACAAGGAGTTTTACTGCACAAAATGACATCAGGATTCGCCGGTTTACAGCAGTGACGCAGCAACTTCCTGACACCTACCAGGAGAAACTGTTTTTTTTTCTTTCAAAGACATGTTCTGAAGTTACAGAAGGCAAACAAGTACAGCTTAGCTAAGGGTGGAATGACTAGACATGAGTTGTTGAAGAGCTTTTATTTCATTGTGGGATAAAGGAGAGAATTCAAAGAAGTGGAAGTGTACACATGTCAGGTCCAAAGATTGTATGTTTTCAGAAGCTGATTCAGCTGTTTGTTTGTGATGGCACACCAGATGTGCGAGTGCTTACTATCATTCTCAAAATAACTTTTTCTTATTATTAATTGCAGTATTCATCAGAAGAGGAGGAAGAGGACTTGGATTCAATGACAAACTTGAACAACAAACGCAAAAAGGTAAGCAAGTAAATTTGTGTGTGTGTGAGTGGTTTTAAAGTGTTGTCATGTGAGTTTTTCCCAGGGCACCAGTCATACATTCTGTGTTGGCGATTGGTTGGTAGTCGTATTCATACTGTTATTTACAGAAAGGAAAAATCTTCAGATTTAGCATGCAACCCTTTGTGCAGTTCTTATATTTATAAATTGTAATAACTCAAAACAGTGCTTCCTGTTGTAAATTTAAATAATGTAAAGACAAGCATTGTACAATTTATTGTCACTTAAATAATGTAGACATAAACACTACATTGCACAGTTTATTGACAGGATACAGCGAAATATGACAGGCAGTAACTTGTTTATTTAAATTATAATATATTCTTCAGTATGACTTTTAGAAAGTGTGGGGTCTGTGGTAGACCTTGAAAGTAAGATGATTTTTGTTTGATGCCTGGGGCCCTGATAAGGTAGAAAACAAATAGACCGTCTGTCGTGCTAACAAGCATGTCGTAAGAGTCTGTTAATTATGGGATTCCTTCAGAGGCAGAGTCAGCGTGCATCTGACTGAGATGCAAGGTACCGACAGTCTGCATACAACTAAATAAGCAGATCTGTTAACTGGATGTGCACACAAAACTTAAGTTCTGGAACAAGACTGAAGTTCAGAAGTGGGAAAAAAAACAGAACTTTCCACTGGAGTCTACAGCCAGTAAACACTGAGAAGAAGAAGAAGATGACTCCGCAGGTCTTAGCCAATTGGGAACCACTGATGTAAGGAATTTCCTTTACCTGATATCAAAGTACTACTGCGATGAGTCCCTTACCAAGCTCTTCTCTCCTTCTTCGAATGCAGATGTCAACAGGGTGTGTGCAAGATAAGTATTGGCACTTTACATCTTTGGGATATGTCATGGTGTAGTGGCTAGACGCTTGCCTTTGGATTATGGTGTTGTGGGTTAAAGTCTTGATGGCGCCAGACTTTAAAAAAAATGATCTTTGCTCCTAGGTTGACCCAGTCTTGAGTGGGTAGCAGGTATAGTCCTGGGAAATAAAGGTGGTCAGTGTGATGCTGACCACATCACCCACCCAGTGCTAGTTGATCTATAAAATATAGGTCTAACCCTATATACCTGATAGTGTTGAAAAGGGACCTTTACTTTACATCTGTTTAGTCTGTGGATAGACCAAACCATACAGTCTTGATAATCTGGATGACCTATACATTTTGTCCATACTTTCTTTGTATGTTTCACTGTTTTTGTTTGTGAATGTGTGGGTAAGTAAAGAGTAAGGAGATTTGTGACATGTTACAATAATATAGAGCCATACAGACTTCATTTCATTGCAGCTGCATAGAACGTAATTCTCCTGTACATGTGTAACCACTCTCATGAACTAGAATTTCCTGCAGTTTAAGTGTTAACAATAATTTCAGGCCAGCCAATTGTGTTGGGCTACTTCTTGATTATTTGGAATCCCATTATCACCTTAACCCTTTCGCCACTGAAACTAAAGAAAAAAAAAATAGGTAATGACTCAATTAGAATTCTTGAAAAAAATATGTAAAAACATCTTTCATTACAAAATTTATTCATGGACATTTGTAAATTATTTTTTTTTAATATATAAAGAAATATGAAAAGAGTAATCAATAAACAGGTACGGATTAAAGTATTAAATTGAATACGTCCCCGAGCCCTAAAAAAAAGTGTCAGGTGAATGATGCTGTGACCTTTATCAATGAGGCCTGTGAGAAAATCTGACGGCATCTTGGCTTGAAAAAGGCCATTTAGCATAAAGGATCTCCTAAACAGGTCACAAAAGGTTAGTCGGAAAAGTTACATTTACAGGGATTAGGACCCATTCGGGAGTATCAGTTTTTCAGCTTTTCAAGGAGAAGGGGTTAAGCTCTGTATTAATGATTCTGGTCTAGCATTTCAGTCCTTTTATTGCCTGCAGGAGAAATCAGAGAAATATCTAGTATTAACAGTTATAAGAGAAAGGTTAGTTGCGTATCCTTTACAGGACGTTGCAGAACCAACCCCAGCGGCCCCCTGGCCGTTGTGTGGTTTTTCTAGGCAAATTTACACCCAGTAGTTTGCCATTGCTTTCTGGACGATTGGCTTTCTTGATACCACTGTCAAAACCAACGCAAAGTGCATGGCCCGCAGCTGGGATCGAACTCGGCATTACGAAGCGTTCGCATTGACTTAGCCGACATAAGAGAAAGAAGATGGCAGTATATTTGGTACATTTTGAGATGAAGTGAATGAAGACACACAAAATGGGCACTGAAATGGGAAACAAATAGATTCAGGAAGCAAGGTAAAACCCTTTAAGGAATGTTGAAAGAACCAGAAGTGCCAGACTGGATTCCATGGTTTCACGAGTATTGAAGACCATATTTATCCCAAGTAGTAATGATCGATGATTATGAGTGATAGCTGGATGAAAGTGATATGTGCAAGGACTTGGATTTAAGTGAGGAAGAGTTGTGCAATTCGTCGACCTGACACTCTCGCCCATTTCCATCTTGATCAGATGGCAGGACAATGTTGAGATGTTTGGAAAAGGACCTAGGTGCAGTGGATGATCAAGGTGTCTTAAGTGCCCTGCCTTGCTCGAAGCTCTCCACAGAGCCTGCTGGTAAACGCCTTTTTCCCCGTTGTACCAATAAGAGGTTTCATGAGCACAATCCGCCGAATACAGTCTTTGCATGCAGGTGAGGCATATCCCACAGGATACAACGAAATGGAAGAATTAACAAACCCTATGTGGCATATAAACGGTTCATTGAGATAATTTTTTGAAGGTGCCAGTTAATGAATGCACGTTAGATGTATTAGATTCTTAGTGGTTATATGTTACAGTAATTTTAGTCCAGCTCATAGTGAACTTTTGGAGTTGGTATTTCTATTTGTGACTGTGGTTACTTTTTTTTTAAACAGGACTTGAGTGCAGTGGACCATGAAAAGATATATTATGCTTCCTTCCGAAAGTCATTTTATGTGGAGGTACCAGAAATTGCAAAAATGACAAACGAAGGTATGTTCTAAATTGTTGAAAATATGAATAGCTGGAATCAGTGGTTGTCTAAATATTTTCCCTATTGTGATACATAAGTACCTTTTGTGTGTGTGTGGTCCTGGGGTGTAAATCACAATAGTTGTTTTGCTTTGCCTTTTTCTTTACATCGCTGGAGAAACTATACCTTGCTGTCCTTTGTGTGGCCTTTTTCTTTACATCACTCGAGAAACTATACCTTGCTGTCCTTTGTGTGGTTTTTTTCTTTACATCACTGGAGAAACAATACCTTGCTGCCCTTTATGTGGCTTTTTTCTTCATGTTACTATATCTTGCTTGCAGTACAGATTTTGTTAGCTTCCTTTCAATTTTTAGTATTATTTATCCTTTTTATTTTTAATTTTCCTGGTTCTCCCCTCCTGGGGCTGTTTCCCATACATATTGTCGGACAGCGCTAATTTATAGATTTAAATGTGTTAATTTCCGGTTTTCACATATGTGAGTATTTGCAAAAGCAATGCTATATCTGTATTAATGTGCAGATGATTGTTAAATTATCTTTAAATGCAAACCATCCTAAAAATTATTTGATAAAGCAATTAAACTAACTTATTGTTAGCTCCTTTAGTAAACTGCCAATTACTGCCTTTATTTTACTACTTTTGCGGCTAGTGCTGTCACCACGGGCTCCTGCAGGCGAGGATTTTTTTTTGCCCCCAACAACAAAATCCCCAACCTTACTGAGGATTCGAACCTGGGAACCATTGCCCAGCCGCTTCTACAGCTCCTTCAGAACCAGTAGATAACAACTTTTTAAAAAAAGGTTGGCTATCCTCCGAATAACGGTCCCATATTATCGAGGCGGAAAATATACCCTAACAGGGCTGCAGTCACATGTAAGTTGCGGACCTCTTCCAGAGACTACACAACATACCACCGAGAGTATCTTCCGCTACTCACGGCGCGGGGTGGGGCTAAATTAGATGGCTGGGACTCACGAGCAAATAAAATGAAGGAAGCCGCAGGAGATGTGGTAGCTGCTGCTCATGAGTCCCAACCATCTAGTTTAGCCCCGTGGCGCAGGAGATACTCTCGGCGGTGACTTTAACTCGGCGGAAGCTTTTCCGCAGTATGCTGTGTAGTTGCCGGAAGATGCCTGCAATTTACATGTGACTAAGGCCCTGTAAGGGATATTTTGGGCCTCGATAATTTGGGACCGTTGTTCGGGGAATAGCCAGGTTTGCTTTAGAGCTGTCAGTATTTCGATCTATTCAGCTGGCAGCCTGTGGGCCAGATCTGGCTCACGGAGGCCTAGCTACTGGCCCGCAGATCATCGCCAGCTGTATTGTATTAATGATCTGTCCACGTTGGTGCTCGGGTCTCTCTCCTATGATGATCTCCATTTACATAATTATGACCCCTGGGTAAACTTAGTTGCACATCCCTGCTGTAGATCATGCTGTGTAGCATTGCTTGTATGTCCACAGCCTTCTGTCAGTCATTTCTGATACAGATGGTTTTTCATGCTATAATACCAAACTGGTCAAGCATCTTCTTTCTTTGTCTCCTTCTGTCTCTCCTTTCCTACTGGATCTAAAGAACTTAAAAAATGACTTTGTAGAAGTGTGTTGAGCTAAGAAGTGACATTACAAGAATTTCCCTATAAGTGCTCTGTCCTCATCTTCATCAACCAAGGAAGAGTTTTAAGTTCCTATGGTGCCACTGGCAGTTTGATTATTATACCCATCTTGACTTTCCCCTGAGTGTAGAGTGTTGATCTGTTTCCCACCCATTGGTGGAGAACCAGTAAATCTGTCTGGCCGCACATTCCCTAACACACCTGCATCCCCTGAAAAACTATGCACTCACAAAAACCACTAACTACCTGGGACCTCTGAAGTGATTCTTTTCCACTCTGCATCGAGCATGATTGTCTCCTTTTCTGTCTGAAATATATAATATACATCTACAATAGAAGTAACTCAAACAAGTTTACTTTCTTTGGGCTAACACTAATGAATCAAGAAAGTGACAATATTGTTTTTGTTTTAGAAATCAGATTAAAAGGATGCTGTTTGTTGTTTCACAGAGGTAGAAGACCTTCGAAATGAGCTGGAGGGTATTACTGTCAAAGGAAAACAGTGTCCGAGGCCAATCAAGACCTGGGCACAGTGTGGAGTCAGCAAAAAGGTTATGGAAGCCCTCAAAAAGTGAGTTCTATTATATTTTCTTTGTGAATATATTTAAAATTTGGTTGTTCTGTGTTTCTTCGGCTGTTCCCTGATGCTCTTAGTGCTAATTTTGTGTGTAGTTTAAAAAAAAAAGATGTGACATTTAGACAGATATGAAATGTGGGTTGGGTTTGATTATTTTTTGTTTAATTGCTAGTTTGGAGCAGCAGTTTTAAAAAAATCTTTTATTCTGTTAAAGGTCGTACATTTGTTTCAATAAAAAAAAACCAATTGTATTTTTATAATGATTTGGGAGGGGGGAGGGGGGGGGTATTTTTTGTTCCTTTTTGTTTTGTTCCTGGAATGTAACTAACAATTACAATTACCTGCCCCATGACGGTTTTGGGCCCCATTTTAGGGAAATAAGAGAATAGACTCACTGCCGCCTCCTTCCCCACCCCCTACAAACATATCATAGGTTGCAAGTAATTAGGGGTGTTTCCTTTGATTTTGGAGTGCATATTCCTGAGAGGCGAGGAACCAACAGTCTGCATAATGTGAACCAGATCTATCAACAGATATGCACATAAAACTCAGAAAAAAAACAAATTTCAGAAGTGGACAGACAATCAGAATTTCCAGCTGGAGTTAACAAGCAGTGAATGCTAAGAAGAGGAGACGGTTACATTGCTCTGAAATGTTGTCTTTGTGTTTTAATAGCTGATTTGATCTTTTGTTATAGGCATAATTATGAGAAACCTACACCCATCCAGGCACAGGCTATACCAGCTATCATGTCTGGCCGTGATGTGATTGGCATTGCCAAGACTGGCAGTGGTAAAACCCTGGCTTTTGTCCTGCCGATGATCAGACACATTATGGATCAGCCACCTCTGGAAGAAAGCGATGGACCTATTGGTATGCAAGACACATTTTTTACTTTATTTTATCATAGTAATAATCTGCTGTAATAGTTTTCAGACAGTGGTACGATATTCAAGCCGTGAAAGTGATTGGGGCCTCACCACATGATATTCCCAAAGACAACATTGGTACACTGGCCAAGCTTCATTATGGAGATGGCACATAATTTGAAAATTAAAATATCTCAGTTAACTGTAAACCTTGTGTACTAGAATTTGATTCCTGAGGTTAACGGTTTAAAAAAATTGTTCTTTCAGACAGTAGAATAAGAGTCGCACTGTGGAAGAAGTTGGGGTCTCACTATATGACATTCCCAAAGACAGCATTGGTATACTGTAACCAGTCTTCATTGTGAAGACAGCACATAATTTTTTTTTTGGTCATAGTAAAAGATTTTATAGATGACTTTTTCTCCGGTATAACAAGTCAGTCAAAAGTTATCCCCGTGGGAGCTCCAGTACGCCACTTAAGACCCACTGCACTTTTAAAAGCATGTTATAAAAGTTGACTAATTAAGGGTTTGCTGTAATCGGATATGTTGGGCCAAAAGACACGGAAATTGCAACCTGGTTGAAAAACCCACAATGTAGTGTGTCAGTCACTATGTTAACGCTTTTGCCTCATGAATGCAAAAAAAATGGTCATGGAGCTTGGGATTTTCCAGAAAAAGCTCTTGAAAAGGCAACTATTTAACAAAGTAACTAGTGAATTGTTTAAACATTTATTTGTCTACATTTATAAAATTTTTATTTGAAATTTTTACAGATATGTAAAGTCCGTAAAAAAAAACCCAGCGTGAAGCATTTAATTGTAATGCATTCCTGGGATCTCAAACAAATATTTATCTGGTGACTCATGCTGAGGCCTTTTGGCCTTCATCACTGAGACTTACAGGAAAATTTTTATGTCAACCTGACTGCAGAAAAGCTATTGGATTCACAATGAAACCCTTCTAAATGCTGTATTCAATTAATTTGTTCTCATCTGGACCTCCTAAGCACTATACTGGCTCATATAGATCTGGGCTTTAACAAGACTTTTCGAGAACAAGTCACTGCAAAAATGGCAATATATCGGCATTACAGGGCTGTGTCCCAACCTGAAGAGACAATTTTTAGTAGCCTTAGACATTAGGGGTGAATGCAGAAAAAACACCTAAAGCTATACTAAAGCATCTAAAAGCTACAGAAGTTTCTGTTGTAAGCATCACCAAACATTTTGCCATGCAGTCAGATTAACAATGTCTCCCCACATCTTCACTTCTCTGACACTTTATTTACATTTGCTGCATCTTTTTCATGTCATTGTTGACACAGGGCATTCACACAGCTGTCCATATCTTCTGATCTACTAATTGACTATCTGCCCTTAGTATTCCAGGTCAGTTCAAACCCTTTCATTCCCTTTTCTGTTACTGTTCTGTGGGTTTCCTTAGAGAGTCTGCATCTCCCTTTTCCATCTGCCATCCACCAGAGAGGGGTCCTGAACAAAGTGTCCTGAGGCATTCCTCAAACATGCCCAAGCCTCATCTGTTGTCTTCCTGTGAAAATGTTTCCTAGTAATGAACATTTTGTTTTCAGTTCTGTTTTTGCTGTGACATCTTTCAGCGCCAGTTTACAATATTTTTTTCAGGACTCCTTCCCTTTGCCGTGCACTTTTTTTTGGGCTAGTTGCTTCCAGATTTTTGTTTCAAATTCTCATGTAGTGAACGACCAAAGAATGTGGGTTGCTACTTATACAATAATTAATCTCCTCTCTGGCAGCCATACTGATGATCCCGACCAGAGAACTAGCTCTGCAGATTGCAGCTGAATGCAAGAAATTCACCAAGCCCCACGGTTTACGAGCTGTATGTGTGTACGGTGGTACTGGCATTTCTGAGCAGATAGCAGAGCTGAAACGTGGCTGTGAGATTATTGTGTGCACTCCTGGCCGAATGATCGACATGTTGACTGCCAACAGTGGTAAGAGTATTTTATAATTTGCTTCTTAGATGAAAAATGGTTTTATCTAAGTTAAACAAAATACCACCAAGGGATATTGTAAGAGAAGGGAAATACTTAACCAGGTCAGTAATTAAAGTATTTGGGGGTAGTAATTACATCAGAAGGAAGATGCACAACAGAGATTGGGAGCAGAATATAGTAATACAAGTTGCATTTATAAAGTTGGAAAATATTCACCACTGAAAGGGCGGTTGGCATCTTGCGTTGAAGCTAACAGCTGCAGTATCTGCTCCTTTAGACTGAACACGTCTGATTTCAGCAAAAGCCTAATTTTACAACATTTGTGTTAGGTGGCAGTGGCACTCTCCCCCCCCCCCCCTGCCCCCCTTCCACCCAAATGAGACCCTGCAACCCATGTTGGGAAGCCTGATAAACTAAGAGCAATATCATGGTCAGAGCTGTTGAATGTAGAAGATTATAAAGCTAAAAGAAAGTCAAATTTTGTTTGTCATGTGGTGAAAAGCATGGCCTTAGAGAAAATACTGTTATGTACTGTATGTTAATAAAATAAGATTAGGAATATACATTACCTCGATGAGTTGGTCATATTTATGTGGTGAGATAAGTACACTGATCTGTTCCATGATTCTGGTGATCGTATGGATGACACAAAAAAAGACACCCTTCTCTTATCTGGACAGGACACATTGATGACAGCCACAAACTTGGTATACCTTTAGGACATTTAAATGCATATACTTTACTTACTGATAGTTTAAAATATTCTTCTGTTTTGCATTTTCCTATAAACACCCAACCAACTCAGGACTGAGCTCTTTGTGGAATTGTACATAACTTACATTTTGCAGCAAATTTTATATTGGGGGGGGGGGGGCACTCTGACATCAACTCTCCATAGACATATCTTAAAATCTTCATGGTAGGTTGTGGTGTAACTTATCGTTGCTTCTCCTGTGGGTCCTCATAACGCACAGGTGTTAAACGCTTTTGTCTCATAACATCTTTTTAAAAGAACCTTTTTTTCTTCAGATTTTGTTTACAAAATGGCATCCTTATTGTTATCTGGTACTCTGCCCTAAGAAGCAGAAGAAATTCTGAGTCTTAGTCAATTTTTTTTAATATCCAGGGGGGGTCAAACCCCTAAATTACCGAAAAGACAGGCAGGCAGGAAATCCCTCTGCTTCTCTGTTATCAGATTAAAAAATTTTTAAAAAGTATATGTATTTAAAAAAAAACATCAGTTACTAAATGTCAAACTGGGAAAAAGTTTTTTTTTTTAATGTGAAGTGGAATAATCATTAAATACAAATAAAGCAAATAATGAATAATGAATGTTTCCTTCCCTTGCACATTTAAAGGTGGTTTTGGTCACTTTGAAATCATACGACTTCACTGTGAATATACTTAAAAAAAATATTTTTTTGCTACCTTAAATAATAGTTAAAGAGATTGGGGGGAAAGGGGGGGGGGGGGTTAATATAATCATGCTCACCATGTATACATACTATGCAGTTGCAGCCAGTGCAAAATCTGTTCTACGGGCATGCTGGGTACTGTTCAAAGGCACATGACAGCTGAAACCTGTAAAAGAAAAGCTGCCTTCTGTGGGTTTTACATGTTATCAACTTAACAATTAGCATGCAAAATTGGGAGACAAATCTGCAATAAACTTACTATTTATTCATGCTGCTTTTACAAAAACAGTAGGGTGAATTGAAAAAAGATTTACAGCAAATTCATTGTTATTTATGCTGCTATTACAAAAACTATAACCATCTGAGATCAAAAGAATAATGATGCTGTCAGACAGATTCTGGAAATGACAAATTGTATTATATTCATTGAAAGATAGCAGATTAAGGGATTTTGCCATTTTGTTAGAATGCAGCAACATCCGATACAATTACAGGCACTACATCTCAGAAGATCAGCTGCAAGAACAAGAGGACGGCCACAAATATGGATCAACAACATTAAAAGCACTTTTCACTTTCATGGCATGCCAAAAAGACAGTGCCAGCCAGTGTGCAGTTTGTCAAAGATTATTCCTTCCCATGATGCTTAATGACAGAAGTGGCCTATGATAATTATAGTGATGATTACAAAAATAGTAAGATGAATAAAAAAAGAGGTAGAGTATGGTGCAGATAGATGTCATTAGACAGGCTTGCGTTGTTGCTTGTAAAATTATTAAAGTTTGTGCAAGGAAGTGGTATTAGCTGACATATTTTAAAATGAAGACGGTGTTACAGTTGTCCAAAGTTTTTACTGCATCGTCATCAACAGGTCGAGTAACCAACTTGAGGCGGGTGACATACATTGTTCTGGATGAAGCAGACAGGATGTTTGATATGGGTTTTGAGCCACAGGTAAATTAACCTTAATATTATTTCTTTTAAAGAAGAATTGAGAAGAGTAGATTAAAAAAAAACAACCTAATGATGTCTTAAAAGAGATAAATTAACGGTGAAAACTTATTGCGTGCAACAGAAGCATGCAGTTCTGCAATCCAGTCAGATCTCTTTCTAAAATGTTCATTGTATCCTAGACACAGCAGTGTGGCTCAATGTGTTTATAATTGTTGCATTTGTAACTTAACCTATGCTTGTTTAATATACATTTCTGTAACTTAATTGCCACTTTGAGAGAATTTTGTCTATATTTAATAGTTGTGGATTTCAAGCTCTACGGTAGACTTTTCTTAGAAGACAAGCCTTAATACAGCACCACACTCTTCACCCTCTCCCTAAAGCAAAAAAGCAGGCATCTTCAAAATTAATGGAATACCCCTAAGAGATGGTAAAGAACCCAAGTACCTTGGAGTCACATTAGATGACAGGTTGACCTGGAGGAAACACATCAACAAGGCAGCTAACCAAAGCCAGGAGGAAGACAGCTATACTAAGAAAACTAAGTGGAACCACATGGGGAGCCAGTGGGAAAATAGTCAATAAACTATACAAACAGAGCATACAACCACACTTGGAATATGTGGGCCATCGGCATGGTGTTCAGCATTTAGTACCACATTAAAGTAGTTGGACAAAGTGCAAAACCAAGCGCTTAGAGTCATCGTAGGAGGGATTTAAATTAAACCCCCCCCCCCCCCCATATTGGAAATAGAAATCTCTGAAAACACAGGCACTGAGAGAATGCAGAAATACAAGTTGCAAATACAAGCAGGAAAGTACCTCAGTATGCCAGATCACTCTATGAAGAAAAAATCTCAGAACCTAGATCTGTGACGGTTACTAAGAAGCAGCTTTATATACCAAGCCCAAAAAAATATGCATACAAACTACTGACCTTCCCGTAATTGATTGTCCGCTTGAAAGTATTCGAGAACAAACTCCACGGAGAGAAAGAAAAATGCAATCCAACAGTACACATCCAGACAAATGGGAAAGGGATATCTGGCAAGAAAGAGCAAGATAGTATACAATGCAGAAAGGCCACCCGCAGCTATCATATGCCTAAATTAACAACTGTGGAATTCGGGCATCATTTGTATCCAACCATTTAAAATAGCACCAAAGGTAACATAAGGACAGGTTAGTGATATTTCGTCCATAGTATTTTGACAATTCACAGTTAACAGACTTCAACATTTGCCAAAAGAGAAATATTTTATTTACATCCAATTAATTTCATGTGTCTCATTTCTTGTGTAATTTATGTTTTGTCTTGAAGATTCCATTTCCATTTTTGATTGGATTTGATATTACAGGTAATGAAAATCATTGACAATGTTCGCCCTGACCGCCAGACTGTCATGTTCTCCGCCACCTTCCCCAGACAGATGGAAGCTCTTGCCAGACGGATCCTCACAAAGCCAATTGAGGTTCAAGTGGGAGGTCGCAGTGTGGTGTGCAAAGAAGTCACCCAGAACGTGGTATGTTTGTTAGCATAATGATACTAGTTTGTGAGTTTTTTTTTTTAATACTCACAATAGTCACTTCAAGGTTATCCCTTTCTACCCAAAAACCATGGGGGAAATGCCCAGAACCCAGGAATTCCACTCAGGAAATACCTAGAAAGTCCTTTAAAAAACAAACATCTTACAAAGGTCACTGATAAATCTATATTTTAAAAATAAATACAAACTGGGGAAAGAATTAAATATAGTGGTACCTGGAATTCGAACATAATCTATTCAGTTATAAATCATTTGAGTCCTATGGCAAATTTTTCCATTGAAAATAATGGAAACCAAATGAATATGTTCTAATGTCCGTCAAACTTCAATTTCGAATTGTATTTTTCTAAATACAGTAGACAAAATATAGTAGCAAATGATGATCATATTTGAATAAAACATAAAAGTAAAGGAGCCTTTTCCACGCTTTTCAGGTGTATTGAGTATATAGGGCTAGACCTATATTTTAATAGACCAAGATGGGTGATGTGGTCAGCATCATGCTGGCGGCCTTTACTTACCAGGACTGCACCTGGTACCCACTCAAGGCTGGGTCAACCTGGGAGCCAAGATCATTTAAAAAAAAAAGTCTGGCTCCGCAAGGGAGCAAACCCACGACCTTTCAATCCGCAGGCGAGCATCTAGCCGCTACATCGTGGCGTCTCCCGAATAAAACATAAATGAATTTTAAAAAATTAAAACGTATTAATTGTACCTTGGATGACGCAACACGCAGAAGTAGGAGAAGGAAGGTAGATTTAGAGATATTATTGTTTGGAAGGCGAGTCACTGTCCATGATAACATCAGGAATCCTTCTGGTATTTCCTGTCATAGTCTTTCACCACTTGTAATGGTTTGGGGTCACTGGTTTTGAACCAGCGTTCCAAAGTGCTCTGATGTTGACAACCATTTTTAATTTGTCAAAAATTTTCCATAATGTTATAATTGAATAATTTAACACACCTGTTAACTAGAGCTCTTCCAGGCTGCCACTCTCAACAACTTTGGTTTTCAACAACATAATCAAAAGATCTTCAGCAGTGCCAATCCTTCCCAACTATCCCTTTTTCTGCCTCGAAGAAATTTCTTCTGCAACTTCTCTCTTCTGCTGCTGGTGAAAGTGCTGTGTAGTAGCGAGTGACTGACATAAGCCATTTGGTTCCAAAGTAGCATTTGAGTTTCAAAACAAAATTTCATTCAGATTTCATGTTGTTCGAGTTTTTAAGCGTTCATGTTTTGAGGTACAGGTGTAGAAAACATTTCCAATAGGCCAACAATTGTTAATGATGACTCATATCCTGACCATCTCGCTGTGCGACCAGTAAAGACTAGAGGCAAATAATGATGTTAAAATGGCTCAAAACAAAGCTTTCCCCTAAAAAGTTTGAACAATGGATCAAAATCATGGCACACGGGTAGTAACCCATAAGTGCTTCATTCTTCTTCTAGCTCAAGTCTGAGTTTGAAGAAGTTCAGCACAGTGCACAAGCGAGGATCCTGAAATACTTTTGGTAGATTTTTAACTCCAAATATTTTGCCCGGGCAGCGCCGTTAGGCTACTCTTTTCAATTTTCCACTGCCGAGGGAGTTTTAACATTCACAACAATGCACAGGGGCGTCCAATCTCACTACCAAAGACCAAAGAAAATTGAAAATTATTAGAAGTCCCAATCCACGTGAAAAAATCCCAGCCCTTACCAGGATTGAAACCGGAACCTCTATTGAGCACTCGAGGTGGACACCATGCCTCGAGACTACGAATCCCCTGGTCCCCCACAATAAACCCCCAAACACACCCAAACTATTTTTAATAAATACGACCTGGTCCAGGCCTCCTGAACACTGCACAGGTCACTAGCTGAAGTCGTATACATGTTTCAGTGGAATGTGAAACAGAGGGCACAGTATAGATCTTGGCAATCCAGGGCAGATGGTTTGAATGTAGGAGGCTTTCTACTACATTGTAATTTTCATCGTTGGTGATGTAAACTCTCCTTTAGGTAGCAGTTAAATACATGCAGTGGGGATCAGCCTTTTTTAGGTTGGATGGTTACTTTTCATATCAGAAATCCCGCTAGTCTACTTTATAGAACAAAGAAATAGACTAATAAAGAGGACATCCCCAACCAGAATGTCATTGAAGATGACTAATAAGGTGTGTTTTCTTTAAAGTTCGAGTTAATCCGCCTGAGTGGAAAGGAACCAACAGTGTGCAAACAAATAAACCAGATGGTTTATATAAAGTTAATCCGCCTGAGTGGAAAGAAACCAACAGCGTGCATACAAATATACCAGATCCTTTATATGGATCTGAATGCAAAACTCAAGTTCTAGATCAACACTAAGTCCAGAAGTGGGCGAACAACTAGAACTTTCTGCAGGAGCTTATGGCCCCTGAGCTTCTAAAAATAAGAAGAGAGAGTGCTGTTGTTTAACTCTCTTGATCTTCCCTGTCTCGCTTTTCCTTCAACTTTCTTGTTGTCCAGCTTTCTTTTCTCTCATGACATGCTTCAAGAATGAGGTGGGTAACCATTTCTCTTTGTTATCTACCCTGTATGATATTTTTAATAACTTTATATCATCTTTAATTTATTGTGATTATATAGCCTAATTTTTTTTAGCTTATCTTGGAGGAGGATAAGAAGCTCTTCAAACTGTTGGAGCTGCTGGGTTTGTACTCGGAGAGTGGCAGCATTTTGGTCTTCGTTGATAAACAGGAGAAGGCGGATGACCTCATGAAGGATCTCCTGAAGCATTCCTACACCTGCCTGTCACTACATGGAGGAATTGACCAGTATGACAGAGACAGCATCATTCAAGATTTCAAATCTGGAACAATTAAACTACTGGTAATTTTTGTCTTTTGTCATCCTCTTAATCTTAGTGTTCACTGGCTTTGAATTCTGGCAGCAATTTCTGGTTGTTTGTCCACTTCTGAACTTCAGTCGTATTCCAGAAATTGAGTTTTGCATGCAGATTGTTCTACTTATGTCTTCTCTAGAGGTTTTCTGGCTAAGATATCAAACTGTTTTGCCTCACACAGTGAAGATTGTGGGCTCTTTCCATGCAGATGTTAAGATCATGAGTGTGTGTTTTACAGATATCCTTTGGGATTGTCATTAGAGCTGTGAAGTTTGTGCTTTTTGCAAAAGCTCTTTGCAGGTGGGCTAGCCATTCTGCAAAGAGAAACTGAGCCATGCAGGATAAAGCCTGTTGAATGAAAAAGCTGATCCTACTGACTTTTTTTAACCTTTCTATCTAAATCAGTTGATCTACACCCCCCCCCCCCCCCAACCCTTATCTTTTTGTTTTAAACTTGAAATGCCTGGATGCCCACCTGCCTCTTTTATGCATCTTTTTTGGCCTCCAGTTATACATATGTGCAGGTTTGATAACATTGGGCGAGAAGAGGAGTGGGTCAGTATGTCCCAGCAAAAGTCACACTTTATAGCCTTCTGATAACACTTTGTTGTAAGTGCAGGGACTGGCCAATGGCTCTGCAGAATCAGAAGTTTAACAATTGATTCATGACAATTCTCACCCAGGTGATTGGTAATCTATACAGATGGATCTGTGTTGAAAAGCAGAGGAAGCTCATGGGTTTTCTTAATAAAAGTGAATATATGTCGCTTAGTGCAACAAAGCCTGGCGTATGACACCACAAGATTTAGTTTGAGAATGGAGGTGTAGCCAGTTACTGCAGCCTTTCGGTGGCTTGAGAATCATCTGTACACACACGTCGTAATTGTAACAGACTCACAGAGATGTTGACAAAGATGGAGGAACCTACATTCCAGCTGGGATACATTTAACAGTATAATTTATCTTAATTTAAAGCGGTTGGCCTATGTAGTCATATAGTTTAATTATGAGTTCATTGTTTATTATCTCCCCCTTCCCTGTCAATAACAGGTTGCGACATCTGTGGCTGCCCGTGGTTTGGATGTCAAGCATTTGATTCTGGTTGTAAATTACGACTGCCCAAATCATTATGAAGATTATGTTCACAGATGTGGGTATGTATCCTACTGAAACATTTTCATCACTTGCTTTATGCTGTTTTTATATAATTTTCTTAAAATAAAGCATCAGGCTTGAACATTACTAATTTGAGGTAATATCATTCCTGTGTGGGTTCTGGGGTCCCACTTGAGTGGGGTGGGGAGGACAGACCTATTATTGCTGTCCCTAAAAAGCACGCCTTAAAAGCAGATTAATCATGGGTGTTTCCTTCTAAGTCAACATGTGTATGCCCGGGAGGCAAGGACCAGCAGTCTGCTTAATACAGGGTTCGTAGTGGACCGGGAAATCGGGAAATTACCGGGATTTTTTTCGTTGACCTTGAAAAGCCGTGAATTTTGACCGCGGCAATGAAATCGTCAGAAATCCTGTGTTTCTCAGCACAGGCAATTTTGGGGGAGCCATTTGGCTTTTTTGGCCATTTGGCTAGTTTTTGGCTACTTTCGTTGTATGGTCGTTTCAGGTGTGAGGGCAGCTGATTATTGGCTATTTTCAGCCGAAATGGCTTGTTAAAGGCCAGGAGAGGGCGGGCTGTGTTGCAGATCATGAATACATGCAGACAGCAGCGGTGTGGCATGGGGTGGGAAGTAGCAGATTCCGTCTCGCGCGCGTGTGTGTGCCTTTGTTTCTAGCAAGTCGGGCAGAATGAACAGTAAAAATCGTTTATGGCCGTGGTTTCTAGAAAGGATTACATTGGGAGATGGTGGGGCTCGGTTCAGTTGTATTTATAAATAGAGTCGCCGTGGTGGGGGCTAAGCACGGCCTTCTCTATTAATTAGAGATGGCATTGGGGCTAAGCAAAGTGACTGCAGCTGGATTTCCCAGTTCTATTTTTGGCCTGGATTTATCTTTAGTGTGTTTGGCGATCAGTATTGTAATTCCCCGAGATTCCCTCTTCTGTTGTCTCACCCCTCTCTCTCTTCCCTCCCTCTTTCACTCTTCTACCTATTGCTCCTTCCTTCCCGTCTCCTGCATTGTCTCTAACCCTCCCTTCTGATCTTTATCTTCTTCTCTTTCTCTCTATCTTTCCATTGACTCTCTCATTTCCTGTCCCCCCTTCCCCTTTTTCCTATTTTATTTCTTGTTTAAATGTTTAAGTAAATGTGCGGCTCCATAACTCTTCCTAGCAACTCAAGTACACAGGAAGTTGTATTGGGGGGGGGGGGGGGGCATTCTGTGTGAACATGGTGGATATTTTCTTTTGATGTGTTTGTTTTCCTAGCGGCCTTAATCTCTGTCCATCTCCCTTCCCGCCCCCTCAGATTTTGTTCTACCTGTTCCTCACTCTCTGCCTGTCTGTGTCACTGCTTTCCTCTCTCTCTTTCTCTTTGTATTTGCCACTCTCCCTCACTCCCTCTTTCTCTCTCTCTCTCTTTCTTTCTTTCTCCATACCTTCAGTTGGTGTAGAAGGTTATGTGTTGCCTAGTGCAGAACATTTCATGTCCACCATTCCCCCCTCCCACACATTAAATATATGTGTACTTTTAAAAACACATTTGCCGTCACCCCCCCCCCCCCCCCCCTTTTTTTTTTCTCCTCCCACATTGATGACACCTAGGGGAGGGAGTGCACCCCTTCCTGCTACCTTCTTCCCTCTATGTCTCATCTTATTTCTTACTCCCTTCTTTCTCTCCCTGTCTCATTCCCACTTTATTTTCTTAAACTTTATTCTCTCACCTCCCCTGTCTCACCCTTACCACCTCAGCCTTCTACACCACTTTCCACCACCTCCTCTCTCCCCTCCTTTCTGTAATTGGAAAACCAGAAATAAAACGAAGTCCACTGCTGCCCTGACCTATTTATGTGTCTGACCTATTTATGTGTGTGGGTAAACTTCTCTATTTTCTACCAGTGGTGGGTTGGGATCCCCTGGACTTTTTTTTTCTTCATAAAATGACCTTGGCTCTCAAGTCACCAGCCTTAAGTGTAAGAAATTGAATTATTGTTGTCACACACAGATAGGACAAGCAAGGGGCAGTAGGGGTTAGCACTGTTGTTTTTGGACCACGGCCACATTCACATTGGGAGAGGGTAGGAACTGGAAAAGTGGCCTCACTTAGAGATTTCCTAATTCTATTTTTGGCACTCATTGTTCTTACACCCCCCCCCCCCCCACCCCCACCCCCACCCCCACAACCGTGTCTTACCTTTCTTCTCTCACCCCTTCTCTTTCCTTTGATCTTCTACTATTCTCCTTTCTCTCTCCATTCTTCCTCTCTTCCTTTCCTTGCCCTTTCTCCTGTCCCATCTCTTCTTTGTCTCCTCTCCATCCTGTCTTTTCATTTTCTCTAGATTTCCTTACCCGCTCCCCTCTCTCATTCTCCCCCCCCCCCCCCTTCCCATTTTTTACTGGTTCATCTACGTATTTTTTTGCCCCATAACTCTTTTCCTAGTGGTTGTGTCCACTACACTTGAAATTGTGTGTGGGGGGGGGGGGGGGAGTAGGTGGCTGTTTTTTTTTTTCTTTGATGTATCTTGTCTCCCTTCCTGCCCCTCTCTCTTAATCTGTGTTTGTCACTGCCTTCCTTACCCACCTCTCTCTCTCTCTCTCTTGCTTTATGTCTGTTTGCCTCCCTTCATCACTTCCTCTTTGTATACCTCCCTCCCATTCTCCTGTTCTGCCTTTTTTTTCTCTTTCTTTGGTTCTCTCCCTCTGTCTGCTTGCCTCTCTGTGCTGTCCCTTTGTCTCTCTCTCTCCTTTATGTCTACATCTCTCTCTGCTTGCATCTGCTTCTCACCCTGTCCGTTCTCTCTCCCTCTGTCTCCCTTCTTTCAACTCTTTGTCATATTTTCCTCCTTCCATATCTCTGTTTCGTTCCCTTTTTCCTTCTCTTTTCATCTGCCCATCTCTGTATCTGCATTCCCTCTTTCTGTATTTGTCTCCCTCTCTGTCTTTCACTGTCCCTTCCCCACTTTTCCTCATCATGTCTCCATCCCTCCCTCTCATTTTTTCCTCCTTCCCCAGACTTCTTTTCCTTCTTTTCTCTACCTTCATCTGTCCATCTTTACACTGTCTCTCCCAGCCTACCTCAGCATGTGTCTTCCTCTCTCTTCATGACTCTCTCTCTCTCCCCTAACCCTCTCAGGTACCAGGTCCAGAACAGACAGGACTTCAGTTTGCTGCCCTCTACCACCAAGCCCTAAAAAAAAATTTCAAACACTATATCAAGCTCAGGGGCCGACCAACACGAAGATGGGCACAGGATATAAGTGACTCCTTGAGTATAAAAAAGTACATGAGGCGGGAGAGCTGGTGAGAGACCGAGGTTTTTTTGTCAGGACAAAGGAAATGCTACATGATGATGATATCTGTGCTGGTATACCAACACATGTGGCACAAATGAAGTACCTTGTGTGCTCAGTACACCCTTGAACAAGGCAAAAATCTTGTTTCAGTATTACACCGAGACAACCTTGAAAAAAACTAAGGAGACCTTGAAAAAGACCTTGAAAAGCCTTGAAATTGATTGGTAAATTTGGCTATGAACCCTGTTAATAATTGAGCCGGATCTGTGCAGTGGATGTGCAAGCAAATCTCAAGTTCTGGAACATAGACTAAAGTACGGAAGAGGGTGAACAACCAGAAATTCTGCCATAAGATCCAGCCAGTGAACAGTAAGAAGAAAAGAAGAATCATATCAAATTAGAATTGTGGTGGGAATATTTAAGTAATGTATTTAAAACTGCTAGTCACTCATATGACAGTAATTCTGTGGTCAGAATTCTAATATAATGCTGGTGTAGACTGCTTATACAGTATCTACACAAATATCATGCATCCTTGTCAATGATCATTATCTGAACGTATCTTATGATTATCTCTGGCTGTGATAATCTTCATCATTCCTTCTTGTTTTACCAAGTTTTAGGGGGTATGGGGTGTCAGTTATTGGTAGGACCTCTGGTTGGGGAGCCTGTCATGCCTTTTATTTAGGACAGCTTGATAACCTTTGGTTAAAAACTGACACTCAGCTTTCACCTGTGGCTCCACGTAGCTGTCAGCATGCGACAGCGGCCACCCCCGGGCAACGGCTTTGACAGGCCGGTAAAACCAGGTGAGGGTAGCTGATGTCTTAACATCGGTGAGTTAGGATCTGCCTATCCAAGCATGCAAAGACTACTGTCGACAGAATGCGCGGAGGAAACCATATTTGGTTCAACGGGCAAGACGGCGACACTAGCAAAGCGCTGTGGATTGCATAGAGCATGGCGAGGAATGTAAAGCACCCTGGTCATCCACTGCACCTAGACATATCTCCAGTCGTCCTGACTCTGTCTTGCCACTGGACCCAGATATGGCTTAAGCGAGAGAGTGAGGTCGACGACACTGCGCAACTTCCTCACTTTAATCCAAGTCACCGCGCAAGTCACTCTTTCATCTTCATCACCACCTCATATATGTTCATCTCTTTAAACCCAGTGGCGATGGGCGAGCAGCAAAGCGGCAGGCATGGGTACGCTGGAAGCTGTAATTGCGGACCTGCACACTGGCGGCTCAGGCCATAGGGTCGCTTTTCGTTGACCGGAGCAGCGGCATAATTCGGCAGCCCCCTGAGCGACTGAGCAGCCCTCTTTAGGACAGCACTGCTCACCTCCATGGCATGAGGAAGGGGCTCGAAAAGGTGCCCTAAACATTGCCTGCTCCACCACTACCTAACTAGCTTACCGCGGCTGGTGGGTACCCTGCAACAGCGGTCGAAACACAAGAAAATTCAAGAAAACTAAACTATTGTCTCTAAAATTTGGAACCTGAAACGTACACACCTTGCTTGACAGAGAAGAGGTCAATGGCCCAGAGAGACGCACGCCTCTAATAGGGAGAGAACTTAGCAGATACAAAATAAACATAGCAGCCTTAAGTGAAACTCGGCTTGCAGGTGAAGGTGAAATCCGTGAACTAGGTGCCGGCTACACTGCTGACTGATGCCTTTGTAAATGATCACACTGGCATCAACATAAATTACCATATGGATGGAAAGGAGGCTGAAAGCGAAAA